AATGTTTTTCCTGAAAAATGACGGGATAGCATAATTATTGTTCTCATCAATAAACCTGGAAAGGACAGATTTCAACTCGAAGGATATCACTCTATTTCTCTTTCAAATACTATAAAAAAACTACTGGAAATGATTATAAATTTTAGACTTGTGTGGTTTTTGGAAATAATAAATTTCTTTGCACCCAACCAATTCAGTTTTAAAAAAATTAGAGTACATACAATTGCTTATCTTTCATCAATGCAAAAATTTAAAACGCACTTTCAAATAATCAAGTACTCGGGATGGCTTGCTTAGATAAATCGAAAGCTTACGATATTACACGGAGACCACTTATAATTAATACATTAAACCCGTTGTTAAGTGTAGGTAACATGCTAAACTTTATCGTCAATTTCCTAAAAAAAAGAACTTACCAAGTCAAAATAGAAAACATCTTATCAAACCAATTTATCCAAGAAAACGGCGTCCCTCAAGGATCTACTATTTCAGTTACTCTTTTTTTAGTAGCAATTAATGACATCACTAATAATACTACACCTCCAGTTTACTCAACTCTATATGCTGATGATTTAAATTTTTTCTGTAGAAGTAAAAAAATAAAAACAGTGCAAATCTTACCTAGAACAAACTACAGATAAACTGGTAGAATCAGAGGTTCCCAAACCTTTTTGACTTGCGGCGCCCTTTGTGAATTGAGGTTTCTCCCGTAGCGCTCTTTCCTAAGTTGAACCATGAATAATATTAAGGGACAGATAAAAATTGGGTTGGCCTGTAATTTATTTTTAGAGTAGATAATATACTTCGAAGAAAGACCCCGACTGCATCAAATATAAAAATCAACTTCATTATCTTACACAGAACATACATTTTGACATCATTAACTCAATTAATATTATAAAATCAGAACAAGCAGAAACTCCACCCTGGTTATCAAGTATTAACATATTGACAGAGCTTTCAAACTACAAAAAAGCAAATACAATGAACTCCTCATACAAACATCTCCTTAGCACATTACTTGAAAACGACGAAAGTGAACTGATCTACACAGACGTATCTAAAAGTAAAAACGAAGTCGGAATTGGTATTATCTGGAAATAAAATAAATGGTTGTTCACAATGAATAATAATTTATCAAATTTCACAGCAGAAGCAATGGCCATCTTCCAAGCTCTTAAAATAATCGAAATTAATCAAATAAAAAATGTAACAATTCTTTCTGACTCACTTAGTGCTATTTTAAATTTAAACAATGTATTCCATCCTAATGCCATCCCCAGACTTACACAAAATATTATATATAAACTCCAAAAATCTGGTTATCAGTGAAAACTTATATGGATACCTGGACATATTAATACTTTAGACAACGAATTAGCGGCAATGTCTGCTAGAGAAGCCGCAATTAAAAAAAATTATGAAATCCTCAACGTTATCTCCTAATGCGATTTAGAAAAAGCAGTCCAGGTTTTTTGCTACCAGGAGTGGAATAGACGCTGGTTAAATTTGAATTGTAAAAGAGAGATAAAACCGAATATTTATCTTTGGATAAATCCCCCAATGTCTAGAAAAAACGAAGCTATTTTAAACCGATTAAAAATTGGGCATACTAAATTAACACATGGCTACCTAAATTATGAAAAAAAAATACCCTCCACATGCGACACCTGTGGTTGTCCCTTGACAGTCAAGCACATGCTGACTGAGTGCAGAAAATACGAGGAGACGCGGGATAGACTAGGCATCAGTAATCAATTGGCACAATCACTGGGTTCCCTCTATGATGAAACCCAAAATGTTATCCGGTTCATGGAAATAACTGAAATTTTAATCTTAATTTAATTCAAAACTATCTTGTATTCTTGCTTTTCGTCTCGTACTGTATATATATATATATATATATATATATATGCAATCAATTATTATCAAACAGCCAACATGGTTTTAGGCAAAATAGATGAACAATAACATATTTATGCATATTTAAACACGAAATTCTGGATTCATTAAAAAAATCATTCATAAACCGATGTCATCTATACAGATATGGAAAAGGTCTTTGATAGGATAAATTATTAATTTTTAATTAATAAACTTAAAATGTATGGATTCGCTGAACCATTTCTTTCTTGGCTTTACTCTTGCGTTTCTGGACGTACTCAAGCTGTAAAATACAGAAGTTACCTATCTAAAAAAATCCTCGTTACCTCTGGTGTTCCCCAAGGAGATCATTTATCTCCTATACTATTTTGTCTTTTTATAAATGATGTATCTGATGTTACTTCTCATTCTAAAATTTTGTTATTAGCCGATGATGCAAAAATTTTCAAAAATATTAGTTGTTAAGTGATGCTGTTGAATTACAATTAGATTTTAAAAATATACATAAATGGTGCCAACAAAACGCTATGCACTTAAATTTAGAAAAATGTTTCTGTATTACTTTCTCCTTAATAAAATCACCTATACAATTTAATTATTCTTTGGGTAATATAAATCTCCAAAGAGTATACACAGTACACGATCTTGGGGTAAAATTTGACTCCAAACTATCTTTTAATGATCATATACTTTTTATTAGGAATAAAGCGTTTGCAAAGCTAGGTTTTTTAAAACGTACCTGTCGAAACTTTAGAGATGAATCTGCTTTAAAAATATTATATTACTCGTTCACACTTTGATTATGCCCTCCTAATCTGGCATCCATACTCAATAAAACAAATCCAAGAGTTAAACAAAATTCAAAATAATTTTATCAGATTTTTATGCTACCAGCGTTTTGTTTATAAAGCCCCTCATTCTAATTACAATGTTACAATCAACTTTTTTAATAAACAATCGTTAAATCAGCGATTCACACTAATTAAATTGAAATTTTTATATAAATTAATTAATAACATGATTGATTATCCTGAGCTACTGCAAAATATAAATTTAAAAATAAATCTAACTACCGATCTCTTAATTTATTTTACACAAAACTTTCAACTACAAATTATATGCAAAATTCTCCAACCAATATTTTACTGCAGGTAACTGTAAATAATATTGATTTTTTTAGTAAATCTCTTGATGTTTTTATGGCAAATGTCCTAAGAAATACGAATAACTAGAATTTGTTTTATTTTGTTTTTCCCTTTATTCATTTAGATTTATTGTATGATATTGATACCTATTTGTTTTATTATTATTATTTTATTACATTTAAATTACTGATAATGAATCTTTATATGTATGAAAAAAAAAGTTATTTTGTAACTGGAATTTATTTCCGTAATAAAGAAATATTATTATTATTATTATTATTATTATTATTATTATATATGTATTTTTTATGTAGATAGCTATAACTAATTATCCTTGACATCCAAATGTAATTAAACCTGTGATCCATTAGCCTCAGATGCTGCGGATATTAATAATAATAATAATAAAAAAGAACTATTATTTGATTTATTTTTGTAAACTCTGGATTCGATTTTATTTTTAGCTATTAACATCGTCAATAGCTGTTATTAAAAATACATATTAATTAAAATATAAAGAAAATGAAAAAAAAACATTTTGTGTGTGATGAAAATAGATAAATTAAATTATTCCGATGCAATTATTTTATTTAAATAAATTATACTAACAACTAGAAAAACTTCACAAAATGTCGACGTACTTATTGCCATATCGTATAAATTGTACAATCTATACTCAATGATATTATCGAAGCATTTAGAAGAGATTGTACGAGTTTGAAAATAATTTATTTTTAACTTTAAAATTTAAGTTATTGTTAAAAAAATGTAGGGATTTTTTCCTGTCGGATTTAAAAAAGATTTAGAGCGAGGCGCTACAATTTTATCATGCACATTCTTATGGAGTGTAAAAAGGATATTTTGTAAGAATGAATGAACCAACTCTCTAGAGGCTGTAATAGTACTAAATTCACCAAATTTTCATAGAAATATCGGCTCATCGCAATTTTAATATTATCGTTATATATCGTTATCGTTACTATTACTATTACGATTACTTTTTATATTATTATTAGTATTATTATTTTATGTTGCTTTGGAACTTGAATAGCACTACAATTTTAATTTAGTTAAGCAAAATTAAAAATTTCGTTTGTGATTATTATTTTATTAATGATTAGGTACTCTAAAAAAACATAAAAGTATATTTTTTAACCTAATATCATAATGACATTTGTTTTTTGTTGAGCAAAAGCCTCAGTAGCAAAGACCAATGGCTATAAATTACAGTTATCTTATTTGCTATACTTACAAGTAATCTTAAATATTATTTTTTGTTTTGAAAAACATTGACATATTTTACAATAATCGATAATTATCTAAGTTCATGCAAATCAGATTGTAAAATAAAATTAACAATTTTCGAGATGTCGGTATATGGTCCTAGGATTTCCCATAGACTTTCAGGCAGTTGGTTGATTCTACTAAGGGTCATCGTACTTTCTGCATTTTGTTAAAGCGTGTTTGACCGTGAGAGAGGTACCGCAGATTTTACATACAAGCTTGTAATTACATTTGTTCATGGTGGAATGTCATAAACATTGAATTAAATAATAGTTAGATGATGTTGATGGCTGATAATAACAAAATGATAATACATTTGCAATTCCCTAGAAAACTAAAAACTAATACCCATAATTATTTTATTTTATTTTATAAATTTAAAATTAACGAGGGGAGACCAACTATAAATGTGTATCTACAATATACCATTTACCGTATGTACAGTGAACACATATGCCACTATTGAAATTACAACTAGTACTGGAATTAAGTTTGTTTGAAGCTATTTGTCGTAATAATGTTTCTGCTTACTATTTTACTGCTTGCATGTTGTGTTTTAAATACAACAGGAAACAAGCCACCTACATACTTTCCGAATTTGCCACTGGTAATGTAGAAAATCGTAAATTAACAAATTTGACCTGATTGAATTATTGTTAGTACCTAATTTTAAATTTATGATTTCAGGGAGAGTATAAATTAAAATTTAAAGCAGTGTCACCATGTGAATCTACTAAAAATCACAAGTTACAGTATAACATGTATTTAAGTAAGACAAGTGCGACTGAATTTGAAATAATGGGCAATATTACTTATTTAATTCCATTTGACGATTCTGTTAGCGTAAGTTAATTTTTAAAGTTAAAAATTCATAATATTTAGATACTTGGGTGGGTCTTATTTGAGAACTTGGGGTCTGTAATGAAATTAATAAAATACAAAAAAAATACAAACAACTCGTAGCCACATATTTTTTTGTTTATTAAGGACACCCCAAAAAAATTTAAATTACATGATCATAAACAAATGTGTTGTCAGTCATATTATTTAAACTTAATATTTTTTACCATTTACAGTACCTCTTTATGGTATAGATGTCAAATTATTATCCTAGAAATAAAATATCTCTTGGACATTTAAATGTCGCACTTAAGACCAGGACATATGAGATTTAAGTTTAGAATAATACCCATTGCATTTTTTTATCTTCTATTGTCTTAAACAAATCCTGACAAGTCTCTATTGATATGTTGTACGCGTGATGACGGACAGATCCCCAAGGTCGTAAAAATACTTTTTTTGCAAATATCTCGATTTCTATTGATTATACGGATATGAAGGTACAAAAATAAAGCTGATAAAATATTCTACAAAAAAGAAACTTAAGCATTTAGATCTTGATGCAATACTTTTTCTAAATATTTGATACGAAATTTTCTATTTTATCAAAAATCACAGTTTTATGCTATTTAATCTATACTAAAATTTATAAAAGTAAAAAATAAATATACAGGAGTTAGACAACAACATTAATAACACATATTGACGTATAATTAGCAATACAATTAGCATACAGATTATAATATTCTCACTAAAGTCGACCTAATACAAGATAATTTTAAAAGCAAAATTTTGTTTTTATTTGGTAAATTTGTTTCGTGATTATACATAACAGGTCTTAAACTGAATTTCAAGTTTTTTTGCCCATAATAGTCTTTAAAATCCACATTTATATTGTTTAAGTTACTTTTTTTTTTCATTATAAAATGTTGACTGGATTTTTTTGTTTACACATGTTATAAGTATATGTTAGACTTACCTTCAGACTAGTTTTCAGATCTTAAAACCTAAAATTGGGCCTAAAAAATTAAGAACTTAAAAAATTCCAAGGGTGGTGGGGGGTCGTCGAAATGTCGACACCTTCATACGATTTTGGATCTAAAAGTGGTGCTACACGAGTAAATCGGCTTACAAGAAAAAGAGTTATCATGTCTACAGACACACAAAGCTGAAAAACCTTATTATAAAACCAATATTGCATCGAAACTAAAAATAATGTTCAAAATATTCATATTTTAACAGAAAATGAATGTATCACATCTAATAGATCAGCCTGTATATATATCAATTGATTTTTTTATCTCCCTAATCCAGTTTTTGCTTAAAAGAATTGGTATTTGGTTGTGTGATCTACTTTTGAAACTTAAACAGTAACGTAAAAATTTCATTAACTTTTCAAATAAAGAATAATTTACTGAAAATGTTGACTGGTCGGTAAGCAGTTTTCAGTAAATAGTTTTTAAGACATGAAACTTTGTAATCTAGACGCACATTACTCCCGTCCATAATTTTAAACATAATTTAAATTTTAAAAAAAATTATTTAAAACTGGTTGTCAATCAGTCAAAATGTCCAGTAAAAAATATAATATGTATGTTTGTTATATATATGTTATTTGAATATTTAAATTATAGGTTATACTAGTGATAGTATTTGCAATACTAATTAAACCGATGGTTTACCAAATTGTATTCACAATTTTTACAACATTATGTATAGTAGTGTATATATTTTTTTTTTTGTAGCTTAACATTAATTTGGCCAATAAAGGATCAATCGGTGGCTGGGTAGAGAATGCACATGTCTACACCACGACTAATGCTTGCTCGAAGTTGAAGTACTTATTGGGAGATTCATGGAAAGATTATTGTCAAGGATTTAAATTTCCTGACTTAGAATGTCCAATGAAGCCGGTAAAAAAATGTTTTGTTGTAATTTCGAACAAGGTGGCGAGTAATTTTGATCAACATTTTCCAACATATTTATTCTGAATATATTATTTTCTGAAGTACCCTACACACTTTTTCATACAAAATAATTCATACATTTTTATTTTATTTTTGCTTTAGGGCATTTACGTGTCATCTGGAATTAACACTAACAAAATGAAGAATACTAATTTCCCCAAGAAATTTTTTTACGGGGAGTATAAAATGGTAATTAAGTTTACAAGCAGTAAGGGAGAAAAACTTGGTTGTCTCGTGATAGTTTTGGATATTATACGACCATGGGAGACTTAAACATTATAATTTTAAATTATGTTCATAAAGTATGAAATGTTATGTATTTTATTTTATGAACTATATTTGTTTAATTTCCGTTAACTCTGGGTCCGGTTTTATTATTAGCTATTATTAAACATATTATACGTATTTTATTTTCTGATAATTAATTGCTTGATTCATTTCCGTCAATTCTATGAATTTTGATTTGGTCTAAATGTCAACACAAAGTGCATAAGTACACATAGTAAGTGTGAACAATTATAATTCTCAGTAAAAAAAAAAACTTTTTTTTTTATTGTATTAAATCGTTTTAATTCCTTGTATTCAAAAATGTCACTTTAACACTTCGAACACAAAACAAAATGCAGGGTACAAAATGCGTCAAGCACAACAGTTTCTGAACTCTAAGTAAGTATGCTTTAGTGGTGAGACGCGTAGAGCGGATCAACCGTCTTATGGAAAATCCGAGATGGGCCAATTTATATCCGCTTGACTTAAAATTCACCTAGGCGGTAAGAAAAAAGTGTACGAGTTGCTCGAGCCACATGCCCGGGGTAATACAGTTACCAATAAAAATGTTTACATTAAAATTCAAATGGCTAATTTTTTGAGCTGTAAGTATACTTTTGTGTTGAAGAAGTATTGTGAGTACGCAATTGTACTCATATGGATTCAATTTAAGCAAATGACGAATGGGCAAAGATTGAAAAGACGGATAAACGATTTTTTGGTTATGGCGTTTCTGGAAAAAATCTTTCGTGTCGAATTTAGTTTTATAAATTATTGTGCAAATAGCTTACAATTTTATTGTACAAATCCTTATTAATCATACAGACAAGATCATATTTTTTTACCTAATCAATTCGATTTATATATTTTTATAAAACAAATCAGCGTTGTAAGCACTAAATATTCTGAGGCAATAACTGATCATAGTTACGCGAATCACTGTATTTCAATATTATAATATATAAAAATATCGAACTATTTTTTTAATGACTCATTCAGCTTTGATTTGGTAATTTTTTCCCCTTTTACACTGAGACAAAAAAAGTAATAAGAAATGCAATTTTCTATAAAAATGACATATAAATTAGACCTTTAATGTAAATAAATCAATATGACATTGTTATTGAACTCTTATATTTTTACTATATTTACTATTGTATTATATAATATACAAAACTAGCTTAAGATATCATATTTTTCTTAAACATTAAAGCAACGGAAAAAAAATTAAGTGGACCGTGCCGAGATCTATTGATACATTTTTGCAATAACAATTGATTGGCTATTACAGCAGACACAAATATATATGATGTTTTTTTTCAAATCTAACTTCCCTAGTATTCTCCGTTTTTATAAACAATTCGTGCACCCGATAGAAATCCAGTCCATTGTCAATTTGGTCGCTAAAATGTCTTACATAAAATTAATTGTGATAACCTCAATCTCAATACCTATTTATTGTAGGAAATAAATAGGTATTGAGAGCGACAATCTTGAGAAACTTAAGTTAAAATAACTATGACGTTTTAAACTTATCAATTATTCGTTATCACTATTTGATATAATATTTAAATATCATCATTTTATTTAATATTAGGAAACAAAACATACTAAATAATAAAATACTGTAGAATGTAAATTATTACGTAATTACTAATTTATAGTTACATAGTACTATGGGTTATTATTCAAGTATTTTTTTAAACTTATTATTATTTCTTAATAAGTGACTTTATGATCTACATTAAGAAGTTTTGACGTATGGATTTAATAATTATATTAAATATTATCAAATCATATAAAAATAAAATATCAACATTAAACAAAATGAACGCAATCTTCAAGAGTTACAACCTCCTCTTGAAACAAACACGAGACATATATGATACTATTATTTTATAATTTAATTAAACTAATTTAACAACATTGCACACAAGTTGATCGTTCCAATTAGTTTGGTATCTATAATTTGCCTAGTCATTCCCGAATACGGCGCCATTGTATTGGTGTACGTACGGTTGCCTACTCTTCGCCTATTCGGAAGGAATCCCAAAATCATTTCTCGAGGATTCGACCTCGAAAGGTTTTCGTCTTGCCTTCGTTTCTACAACAATTAGTATGACATTAAAAATTAGTATTTAAGCTATTAGCTAAACGTATCTTACCTATAGATGATATACCAATTTCTTTTAGTTGGGGAAGCGTACGCGGCCTAACATAACCGAAATAGAAAAAATTGTAGCGCCTTGCCCTGAATCGTCTTTGACTCAACAGGAAAAATAACCCTAGTTATTTTCAACTTCTTAAATTTTAAAATTAAAAAAATATATATTTACTCAAATGCGTACAATCTCTACTATAAGCTTTTATAATATTATCAAATATAGCTTTTACAATTTAACTCCTCCCCCCTTACACTTATTTTAGCTTAATACTTCAATTTTATATTAACCTTATGTGTTTTTCTCAATTCCTGAAAAAGTATTTGATGAAATACTAAGTAAGCCAAGCCAAGAAAAAAAGTCATTTTGTTATAAGTGAAATAAATTTAATGTGTTTTATTTCCAACCATAACCCCATCCTCCATAAAAATGTCCTGTCTACACCACTGAGTATGGAGTAGAATGAAATACCACTAAAAAGTTCTAATAAAATATTTTTATAATGTAAAACAACTTTTCAAAAACATTTAAATTTAAATAGATTTAGAACATTTAGATTTAAACTAGTTCTTTTATAATACCCGACTCTTTGTTTATCGTCATACCTATCTTCTATATTATATATATCCTATATAATTTCACTGAGCACATTTAAAGCTTAAGTATGACATAATACCCAAATAGGTAGTTATCACATGTGTGGTATCGACCACGTGAGAACTCCAAATTAACTTATGGGAATTTTTAAACATTCAATTGAATTTATTTACAGTTCTGTCTTCATATTAAACGAGTCATGAAATAATGTAAATTTAGTTTACTTGGCTGGAAGTCGAAGTTTGTTTTTCTGCTATAGTTTTCCTACTATAACAAGTGCTATGTTTTCTAGGTCGGAAACTTCGACCAAGTAATATGAATATAGTAGGAAAACTATATTTGTTCTTATTATTTTATTAATGCGTACACCAAATAAACGTACATTTTTTTTTACATAATACTTATCATTTATATAATCATAACGATTGTTCACGAATCAATGTCACAAACGTAGCATTAAATAATAGTTTAATGATGCTGATAAAAAGTAAATTATATATTTACAATTTTGTAACAAAAGAACTACACTGTACAATTGTTTTTTTTTTATTTTGTACATTCAAAACAAATGAGGAGAGACCTACTGTAGCTATTAATATACGTACGCCGCTATTGAAAGCAGAACTTTTACTGGAATTAAATTTTCTTGAAGCTATTTGCCGTAATCATGTTTCTGCTTAATATTTTACACATAAATAAAACACATTAAATTTATTTTACTTATAACAAAATATCTTTTTTTCGTGGCTTACTTGGTATTTCATCCAATAATATTTGAGACATTGAGAAAACCACATTAAGTTATTTTCCATTAAGTCTAGTTCCTCTTGAAAGTGATTTTATCCGAGAGGACTAGTACAATAGAGTATAGGCATAATGAAATCAAAGCAACGAAGGGACGGAGAGGTCACAGGTCTACAGGAATTATTATAAATAAAAGTGATAAAATTGAATAAAATCACTTTCAAATAAACGCTTTGATGCTTATTTGTAAATACAGCACCTCAATTTAATATTTTCTAACTTTGCTGGTTTATGCTGTGTTTGGTTTGGACTGCACTGGCTTGAAAATACTAACTACCGATTGCATCGTAGCAATTTTTCGAAAGTTATTTCATCACTTTCAGATTTAAAAATTCCTGTAAACCTGTGACCTCCCTGTCCTCACTTTTGCCCTGACCCGACTTTGCTCCGTCCCCACTGTACTATTTTTGTTTTGCAAGAACATAGTAGACCAAATCAGGGGTTCGGAACTAGTTCCGGAACATGTTCCTTCATGACTCCCTGTTGTAATCGTTCCGGAATAAATACCCGGAACTAGTTCTTCAAGATATTCGTTCCGGAGCAAATACCCGGAACTCGTTCCCCGAGATTTCGTTCCGGAGCAAATACCCGGAACTCATTCCTCAAGATATTTGTTCCGGAGCAAATACCCGGAACTCGTTCCTCGAGATATTCGTTCCGGTGCAATTACTCGAAACTCGTTCCTCAAGATATTCGTTCCGGAACAAATACCTGAAACTCGTTCCTTTGATATTTGTTCCGGAACAAATAAAATGTAATTGTTCCTTAAAAAATGTGTTTGTTCTTCGTATTATGTTGTTTCGTTCAAGTTTATTGAAGGTGCCCACTTTTTTTGTTACTTTAGCCTTAGTGTGAGGTATTTTAGAAACAAATGTTAATTAATTCACCAAAAGATTATAGTTAATGCATTTGATATAACAATTATTGTTATTTTCAGTATACATAAATGTATGTATATATATATATATATATAGTAAAGTGGTGAAAGTTAACAGAGGTATTATAACACATTTATACATACTAGGAGAGGAAGGGGGTAAAAACAAAAAAATTGTGAAAAATTGAGATCACATTGTATAAAAACATTTTGCTCCATTAATAATTTATTAATAATGACAAAGAACAATTACATTTTATTTGTTCCGGAACAAATATCAAAGGAACGAGTTCCAGGTAATTGTTCCGGAACAAATATCAAAGGAACGAGTTTCGGGTATTTGTTCCGGAACATAAAAGAGAAATGAGTCAAATAGAAACGAATTCCGAACCCCCGGACCAAATAACACATATACAATATCTTGTTAAATTTAGTTGGAATAGTCGACGATTCATGTTTCAATCGTTTGTACTCCATAGTTTAAATTATAATCGCTTATTCTCAATAAAATGTTTATGTATTATATAGAATTATATACCATTAGAGCAATCTCACTCTAACTATTTATATTTCATAGATTTTATTCTTTTAAAGCTCTATTATACTTCTATTTTACTAGATTGACAATGTACAAAACAAAATGCAACTAAAAAAACCTTTTAATAGATCCTTAAATTGTAAAGGGTTGGGCAGTGAAACGGGCGATTTTCCCATTTAAATACATTGGAAAATCACCTGTTTTACTGTCCCACCCTGTATATTAATTTCTTGTTGTGTTCTAAAGGAAAATTGAGTTTTTAACATTTAAATTAAAATTAAATCTTATACTGGTACTGTGATGGAGAAAACAATACATTTTACTTACATATATTACTTATTAGTTAAATATTACTAACGTTTATAGCCACTAGCTGTCGGCTGTTGCCTATTACATTTCCATACTTAACAATAATTTATGAAGATTTTAAAAATTGTGTTTTTAAATAATACTATAGGAGCAGTATCACAATGTTTAATGTTCACGAGATTTGATCTAGTCATAAAATAAAGTAATATCATTCATGACTTCTAAATATTATTAAAATTCATCCGACTCTTTTTCTCGAAATTATAGCCAGTAAAAGTTCTAACCTAAAAACTTGTATGATTTATTTTTGTTTTTTCATATTTTGACTGTAAGAAGAAAACTTTCGAACTCACGATCTTAGTGTCCACTTACTTACCTAAGACGATCCTGAATGGGGTCCGCAGGATTGTCACACCCGTTATCCAAAAAGGACACCCCAAGCGGAAAATGTGACTTTATACGATTCTTAATAATAATAATAATAATAATTACAAAATACTTTTTAGTCAACAGAAAAATAAAATTACTTTTTTATAAATGAGTATTTAAAGTAAGATTATTTTACAGTCATTTTTGGGCAGACATGTAATGTACTACAAAATATTATTGACAAAACTGTATTAATATTTTGCACAATAGTATACACCGTGTTCTTTTATAACTTAATATCAATATGGCCATAAAAGGATCAATCAGTAGTTGGATAGATAACGCACATGTCTACACCTACGACTAATGCTTCTTCAAAAATCAAGAGTTTATTTGGAAATTCGTGGCAGACTTTTATAGAAAGATTTCATTTTGCTAGTCCAAACTGTCCGGTACAGCCGATAAAAATTATTATAATATCGTTGACAATTATTATTATGACCTCTTGATCGAAATAACCCATAATATAATTCATTCTGAATTTTTAATTAATTTATATTCTGAGTGTTTAATTTTAATGTCTCTTATATAAAATATTTTTTACACTCTTGTGTCTTTGTTATAGGGCGTTTATGTGTCATCTGGAATCGACCTTGTCAAGTTGCTGAGTACCAATTTCCCCAAGACATTTTTTTACGGGGAGTATAAAATGGTGTTTACGTCCACAAGCAGTAATAACAGGGAAAACGCGGGTGCTCTGTGTTAGTTTTAGATGTTATACGACCCTGAGAGAGTTTAGCCTAACAATAGTTATCAATTATATTCATGAAATATTGAATTGTATGTATTTTTTTATAAACTATTATTTGGTTCATTTCTTTAAACTCTGGGTCCGATTTTATTATTAGCTATAAAAGGCATATTAATTAAAAGAGAGAAAAACATTTGTGTGTGATGAAAAAAGATAAATGAAATTATTCCGATGCACTTATTTTATATAAATAAAATATACAATACCTAATTGAACACCTACATTTAAACTGTAACAACTCTGAAAATTTTTTTTTTACAAATTGTCGACGTACTTATTGCCTATTGCTATATGAATTTACATATTGTTATTGAGTATACATTGTACAATCTATACTAAATGGTATTATAAAAGCATATATTAGAGATTGTATGGGTTTGATTATGATTTTTTTTTTTTTTTTTTTAAACTTAAGTTAATGTTAAAAATATTTAGGGTTTTTTTCCTGTCGGAGTCAAAGACGATTTAGAGCGAGGCGCTACAATTTTATCATGCACATCCTTATAGAGTGTAAAAAGGATATTTTGTAAGAAATAATGAACCAACTCTTTAGAGGCTGTAATAGTACTAAATTCACCAAATTATTATAAGAAAATCGGTTCATCGCAATTTTATGTTGTATTTAAACTTGAATAGCACTACATTTTTTATTAAGTTAGACAAAATTAAAATTTTTTTTTGTGATTATTATTTTATTAATGAGTACTCTAAATAAACATAAAAGTATTTTTTTAACCTAATATCATAATGACATTTGTTTTTTGTTGATCAAAAGCCTCAGTTGCAAAGACCAATGGTTATAAATTACAGTTATCTTATTTGCTATATTTACAAGTAATCTTAAATATTATTTTTTTGTTTTGAAAAACATTGATATATTTTACAATAATCGATATTTATATAAGTTCAGGCAAGTCAGATTGTGAAATAAAGTTAACATTTTTTGAGATGTCGGTATATAGCCCTAGGATTTCCCATAGATTTTCAGGCAGTTGGTTAATTCTTCTAAGGTAATCGTATATTCTGCATTCTAATAATGCGTGCTTGACCGTGAAAGAGGTATCGCAGGTTTGACATATTAGCTTGTAATGATGATTTTCATGGTTGAATGTCACAAACATTGCATTAAATAATAATTAGATGATGTTCATGGCTGATAATCACAAAATGACAATACATTTGCAATTCACTAAAAACTACTATGCATAATTATTTTATTTTATTTTATAAATTCAAAATTAACGAGGGGAGACCAACTATAAATGTGTACAGTTTACCGTATGTACAGTGTACACGTATGCCCCTATTGCAATTACAACTAGTACTGGAATTAAGTTTGTTTGAACCTATTTGTCGTAATAATGTTACTGCTTACTATTTTACTGCTTGCATGTTGTGTTTTAAGTACAACAGGAAACAAGCCACCTACATACTTTCCGAATTTGCCACTGGTAATGTAGACAAATCGCTAATTAACATAATTGATCTGATAGATTTATTAGTACCTAATTTTAAATTTATGATTTCAGGGAGAGTATAAACTAAAATTTAAAGCTATATTTCCATGTGAACCTACTAAAAATCACAAGTTACAGTATAACATGTATTTAAGTAAGACAAGTGCGACTGAATTTGAAATAAAGGGCAATGTAACTTATTTAATTCCATTTGACGATTCTGTTAGCGTAAGTTAATTTTTAAAGTTAAAAATTCATAATATTTAGATACTTGGGTGGGTCTTATTTGAGAACTTGGGGTCTGTAATGAAATTAATAAAATACAAAAAATTACAAACAACTGTAGCCACATATTTTTTGTTTATTAAGGACACCCCAAAAAAATTTCAATTACATGATCATAAACAAATGTGTTGTCAGTCATATTATTTATACTAAATATTTTTTACCATTTACAGTACCTCTTTATGGTATAGATGTCAAATTATTATCCTAGAAATAAAATATCTCTTGGACATTTAAATGTCGCACTTAAGTCCAGGACATATGAGATTTAAGTTTAGAATAATACCCAATGCATTTTTTTTATTTTCTATTGTCTTAAACAAATCCTGACAAGTTTCTATTGATATGTTGTACGCGTGATTACGGACAAAGTAAATATCTCGATTTCTATTGATTATAAGGATATGAAGGTATTTTACAAAAAATAAAGCTGATAAAATATTCTACATAAAAGAAATTTAAGCTTTTCGACTTTAAAGCAATACTTTTTCTGAAAATTTGATACAAAATTCTCTTTTTTATCAAAACTCACAGTTTTATGCTATTCAATCCATACTAAAATTTATAAAAGTAAAAAATAAATATACAAGAGTTAGACAACAACATTAATAACACATATTGACATATAATTAGCAATACAATTAGCATACAGATTATAATATTCTCACTAAAGTCGACATAATTCAAAACAATTTTAAACGCAAAATTTTGTTTTTATTTGTTAAATTTGTTTCGTGATTATACATAACAGGTCTTAAACTGAATTTCAAGTTTTTTTGCCCATAATAGTCTTTAAAATCTACATTTATATTGTTTAAGTTACTTTTTTTTTTCATTATAAAATTTTGACTGGATTTTTTTGTTTACACATATTATAGGGATATTGTGCCTAAAAAATATTAATAAAACAAAAAACCCAGGGGCGGGGGGTCGTGGAAATTTAGAAACCTTCATACGATTTCGGATCTAAAAGTGGTGCTTCACGAGTAAATCGGCTTACAAGAAAAAGAGTTATCATGTCTACAGACACACAAAGATGAAAAACCTTATTATAAAACCAATATTGCTTCGAAGCTAAAAATAATGTTCTTATTTTAAGAGAAAATGAATGTGTCACAATCTGATAGATCAGCCTGTATATATATCAACTGATTTTTTTAACTCCCTAATCCAGTTTTTGCTTAAAATAATTGGTATTTGGTTGTGTTACTTACTTTTAAAACTTATTCAATCACGTAAATATTTCATTAACTTTTCAAATTAAGAATAATTTACTGAAAATGTTGACGGGTCGGTAAGCAGTTTTCAGTAAATAGTTTTGAAGACATGAAACTTTGTAATCTAGACGCACATTACTCCCGTCCATAATTTTAAAAATAAATTAAATTTAAAAAAAAATTATTTAAAACTGGTTGTCGATCAGTCAAAATGTCCAGTAAATTATATAATATGTATGTTTGTTATATATATGTTATTTGAATATTTAAATTATAGATTATACTAGTGATAGTATTTGCAATATTAATTAAACCGATGGTTTACCAAATTGTATTCACAATTTTTACAACATTATGTATAGTAGTGTATATATTTTTTTTTTTTGTAGCTTAACATTAATTTGGCCAATAAAGGATCAATCGGTGGCTGGGTAGAGAATGCACATGTCTACACCACGACTAATGCTTGCTCGAAGTTGAAGTACTTATTGGGAGATTCATGGAAAGATTATTGTCAAGGATTTAATTTTCCTGACTTAGAATGTCCAATGAAGCCGGTAAAAAAATGTTTTGTTGTAATTTCGAACAAGGTGGCGAGTGATTTTGATCAACATTTTCCAACATTTTTATTCTGAATATATTTTCTGAACTACCCTACACACTTTTTCATACATTTTTCTTTTATCTTTGCTTTAGGGCATTTACGTGTCATCTGGAATTAACACTAACAAAATGAAGAATACTAATTTCCCGAAGACATTTTTTTATGGGGAGTATAAAATGGTAATTACGTATACAAGCAGTAAGGGAGAAAAACTTGGTTGTCTCGTGATAGTTTTGGATATTATACGACCATGGGAGACTTAAACATTATAATTTTAAATTATGTTCATAAAGTATGAAATGTTATGTATTTTATTTTATGAACTATATTTGATTAATTTCCGTTAACTCTGGGTCCGGTTTTATTATTAGCTATTATTAAACATATTATACGTATTTTATTTTCTGATAATTAATTGCTTGATTCATTTCCGTCAATTCTTTGAACATTTATTTCGTCTAAATGTCAACACAAAGTGCATAAGTACACATAGTAAGTGTGAACAATTATAATTCTCAGTAAAAAAAAAAACTTTTTTTTTTATTGTATTAAATCATTTTAATTCTTTGTACTCAAAAATGTCATTTCAACACTCCGAACACAAAAAAAAATGTAGGGTACAAAAAGCAATCGAAAAAAAATTAAGAGGACCGTGCGGAGATCTGTTGATACATTTTTGCAATAACTATTGATTGGCTATTACAGCAGGCACAAATATATACGATGTCTTTCTTTAAATCTAACTTCCCTAGTATTATCCGTTTTTATAATGGTTCGTGCACCCGATAGAAATCCAGTCCATTGTCAGTTTGGTCGCTAAAATGTCTTACATAAAATTATATGTGAATTGTAGGAAATTAATAAGTATTGAGAGCGACAATCTTGAGAAATTTAACTTAAAATAACTATGACGTCATTTTTTTAGTTTTTTATAGAAATAATTTGAATGTTTACGTTTGAAAAAAATAATTATACCGCGTTCTTACTTGCTTGAGTGCAATAGATAATGTATGACTAAAATGTATAAAATAACATAAACAAAATTGCATTGACAAGTTTTTTTATAAACTATTAAAGCTAAAATTTAATATATCGATAACTAACGTTAAGGTTTAATTATAATAGCATTATATTCAAATTGTTACTAAAGATTATACTAATAATTATTATTACCAACATAATTGACTACCTATTTGTTTAGTTTCAAATAGGTGACACAGTATAGATTAAAGACAAAACAACCAAACTGGACCAGAAGTACAATAAAACAATTTCAACGGTACCACTAAATTTGGAAAAATATTTTGATTATTAAAATTCTAATTTATATAATTTTGCATTACGCAACAATAATATGTCTGAATAAAAAAACAATAGTATATTGGGTGAATAAACTTATACTATTCAAACTGCTTAGTCCTTAATTTACATATTCAGATGACTGAACAATGACCTTCGAAAAGCTGTTGATTACTTATACCAAGGAGGAGACAACTTATGACCGTTAGAGTGGCGCCGATCTTCTCTGAAATATTAATGACATTCTGGGTAAAACAAAAACATACCACCCACCTCATCAGTGCCCTACACGAGAAAAATCCTAAATCATCTATGACATGTATCATAGAAGTGCCCCTGTTTCGGCGCCACTGTCTCTAACTGAATTATTTTGTCTACTATAGTTTTCTTTAGTAAGATAATTTATTGACTTATGGACTATCTTCGTTAAATGTAAAAGTTAAATGGAACTTACCTATATAGTATAGACGATATACCAATACCTCTTGGTCGGGGAAGTGTACGCGGCCGTCGACCTAACATAACCAAAATAAAAAAATTGTTGCGCTTCGCCCTGTTTAGTATTTGACTTCGATAGGTAAAAAACCCTAGTTATTTTAAACAATGACTTAAATTTTAAAATTAAAAAAAAATTCTATTCAAACCCGTACAATCTCTACCATATTCTTTTATAATACCATTGAGTATAGATTGTACAATTTAAACTCAATAAAAATATCTAAATTCATAATCGACATGGCAATAAGTACGTCGACATTTTGTAAAAAAAAAAAATGTTCAGAGTTATTACAATTTTGATCTAGATGTGTGATAAGGTATAGTATGTTTTATTTATATAAAATAACTGCATCCGAATAATTTCATTTTTCAATTTTAATCAAATACAAAATGTTTTTTTTATATTTAATTCATATGTATTTTTAACAACATCTATTGACGGTGTTAATAGCTAATAATAAAATCGGACCCAGAGTTTACAGAAATGAATCAAATAATAGTTCATAAAAATTACATACAATTCAATATTTCATGAATATAATTGATAACTATTGTTAGGCCAAACTCTCCCAGGGTCGTATAACATCTAAAATTATTACAGAACACCCAAGTTTTTCCTTGTTATTACTGCTTGTGAACGTGAGCACCATTTTATATTCCCCGTAAAAAAATGTCTTGGGGAAATTGGTACTCAGCAACTTGACAAGGTCAATTCCAGATGACACATAAACGCCCTATAACAAAGACACAAGAATGTATAAAATATTTTATATAAGAGACATTAAAATCAAATTACTCAGAATATAAATTAATTAAAAATTCAGAATGAATAACATTTTGGGCGATTTCGATCAAGAGGTAATAATAATTATCAACGATATTATAATAATTTTTACCGGCTGTACCGGACAGTTTGGACTAGCAAAATGAAATCCTTCTATATAAGTCTGCCACGAATTTCCAAATAAACTCTTGATTTTCGAACAAGCATTAGTCGTGGTGTAGACATGTGCATTATCTATCCAACCACCGATTGATCCTTTTATGGCCATATTGATATTAAGCTACAAAAGAAACAATGTATACTTTTGTGTAAAATATTAATACATTTTTGTAAATAATATTTTGCAGAACATTACATTTCTTCCTCAAAAATAACTACAAAATACTTTTACTACATAAAATAGTACATTCTAGCATTCGCCCATAAAACCAATTATTTTAACTAAGAATAATACATTGAAGCTCATAAAAATAAAGGGATACTCAATTAACATAGTCGAAATTTATTAAAACCATTTTTTTTTTAAATATTGCCTATACAAAACTTCTGAAAACATACCGCACACAATCCCCTTAGTGTACTACACTAGCTTACTTAAAAAATAATTGTGATTCTGTAATGTTTCTCTTTAAAAATATTTGTATTTATGTTATACAAATAGTAAAAAATTAGATAATATTTCAATGTTTCTCTTTTTTAGTATTGGCTATATCGAACTTCGATACTTTTTCTGGTACCATATTTATTTAAGATACATATGTAATTTACTGAACAATGTATACTTTTGTATAAAATACTAAATATTAATAAAATTTTGTAAAAATATAGAACATTACATTAAGTATATAGAATATGTATATTTCTTCAGCTAAAAGGTATAATTATTATGGGAATTTAAAATTAACTCACGCTAATTGAATCGTCGAATGGAATTAAATAGGTTATATTCCCCTTTAATTCAAAATCAGTGGCACTTTTTTTACTTAAATACGTGTTATATTGTAATTTGTGTTTTTCAGTAGATTCACATGGATATACAAGTTTAAGTTTTATTTTATACTCTCCCTGAAATCATAGATTAAAATAAGGTACTAATAATTCAACCAAGTCAATTAGGTTTTTTTTCAATTTGTGTACTTTACCATTGGCAAATTCGGAAAGAATGTAGGTGGCCTGTTTCCTGATGTATTTAAAACATAACATGCAATCAGTATAATATTAAGCAGAAACATTATTACGGCAAATAGCTTCTAGAAAATTATTATATTCCAGTACAAGTTCTGCTGTCAATACGTGGCATACGAGTATTAATAGCTATAGTAGGTCTCTCCTCATTTGTTTTGAATATACAAAATAAAATAAAATAATTGTATATTGTAGTTCTTTTGTTACAAAATTGTAAATGTAAAATTTACTTATAATCAACAATCAGCATCATTAAACTATTATTTAATGCTACGTTTGTGACATTGAACAGTGAACAATCGTTATTATCATAGTATTATGTAAAAAAAATGTACGTTTATTAGTGTGGGTTGTACTCATTAATAAAATAATAGTAACAAAATACATAGTTTTCGTACTATATTCCTATTACTTGGTCGGAATTTCCAACCCAGTAAACATAGCACTTGTTATAATAGTAGGAATATAGTAGGAAAAATATAGCACATAAACAAACTTCGACTGCCAGCCAAGTAATCTCAATTTACATTATTTCATGACTTGTATAATTCGAAGACAGATTTTTATTTGTTGGCAACGACGTATAATACATATTATATTACATTATGGTATATACTTAGTTCCTATATTATATCATGTATTCTAAGGCTTTTGTTGAAACACTTTTTTTTTTTTACTTAGCGACCATTTACACTAAGTTAACAAAATGGTCAAGTTGGGATTCAGTACTTCGAAAAAAAAAATAATTGTAAATATTAGTTCTCTCAATAATTTTAACGTGCAATAACCTTATAATCGGCAGTCGCCGAAATCCAGTTATTATTTAATGCGATGTTTGTCACTCAACCGTCAATAAATTCAATTGATGTGTGAAAAATTACATAAGTATTTTTGGAGTTCCCACGTGGTCGATACCACACAAGCGAAAACTACCATATTTCGGGTAATATGTCATACTTACGCGTGTAAATGTGCTCAGTGGCGTATTTAGGATATATTTTCGGGGGGGGGGGAGGATTATAAAATTAAAATAGATTTATTTAATATTATAAATTAACTTTATTTGAATAATTTATTTATAGTTTTGATAATTTTAATGCCTTAGTATGTTTCTTAAATTAAAGAATAAAATCTACTTTTCGAGACAGATTCGCAAAATTATTAATTAGTTTTTCAGTGTTGCAATCCAGGGCAAACCATATATTTGGAAAAAAAATCAACGGATACTTTATTCAAAGTATCAATAGCAGAATTTGGACACTCATTCTGAGAAACTTTTTTCATTTTTCTATCCATACTTTTAATTCTGGTTCAAATGTTTTGTAGCTGGGTAAAATATGTTTATAACAGTCTATACATTTTTCAAAAATTATATTTTTTCGACTAAAAATAAACTTTGAAATTCTTTATCGACATTTATGCGAATAGAAGATAAAACTATTTCATAAATCCTTTGTTAATGTCAAATCTTCGTGGGCCACCCTGTATACGATTTTT